AAACACTTGATCGGTGGCCCAGCAGGTAGTCTGGGATTCTCAGTAGCCGTAACAGTTGAAGACTTTTGGGGGGGCTGTCGTTTGGGTTGATTTTGGCCTCGACTCGACTTCCTGTGGGAGTGGCTTCTAGTAGCATGCGAGCTGAACATCTAGTCTTACTGCTGTCTAGTACCACTCTTGCAGCTGATTAGGGACTGCTCAATAGATACAAGCCTGGGAGAGGTGGTCGTCTATTCTGCTGGCTATCTTGCGAAACTCTCGTACATATTCTAGGGCAGTGGTGGCGAACCTTTTTGAGACCGAGTGCCCAAACTGCAACCCGAAACCCACTTACGCATTGCCGAATGCCAGGGGCGTGGCCAGAGTGGGAGTGGCCACATAGTGGGCGTGGCTATGGTGGGCGTGGCTATGGTGGTCATGGTAGCATGGGTGGGCGTGGCCTGGGTGGGCGTGGCCACCTCAATGTTACTCATGGGGACAGACACCTGTGGGGGCCGGACAGGGTTGGGGGAGATCCAGGAGGTCTCTGGCAGGTGGGACGGTGGGCAGGAGGCTCGTCCTGCAGGGTGAGGCAAAGCAAGACAAGGTGAGGCAGGGGGCAGGGCAGTAGAGGTGATAAAGCATGCCCACGTCCAGCAAGCCAAAGGCTACCCCAAGCGGAGAAAGCCGGATCTCCATCGGCGCTATGGCCCCCCAGTCCCAGCTAGGCTTGTGTGCCTCTCTCCATCTCTGCTGGGCCTGGGTGGATCTGGCTTTCCCTGCTTGGGGTGGTCTTTTGCCTGCTGGCCCTGGGTGTGCTCTACCACCTCTAAGCCTAAGCTCCTAGCTGACTGCTTCATCTCCTTTGTGCTGGGCGGGCATGCAGATCTGGGTGGTGGCCTAATGACCTGCTCAAGTAGCTGGCAGCCCTGGTAGGTACTGAGGTGTGCGGGGAGGGGGGGGAGTGGAGAAAAAAAAACCTGATCCCACATAAGGTGGATTATTTTCTCTGCCATACTTTTAAAACTGTCTTTAAAGTTTACTTACTGCAGAATGGCGATCCTTCCCATTCTGCTGCATCAAGCAAAACACTCTGGCAGCAAAACTCTCCTCCCCCCGCCCATCCCACGTAAGGAGGCTTCTCTCCTCTCTCCTTGGCTTTTTGTTCCCAGACGGTCTGGCAGGGAACAGCCAAAGGGAGTGGAGAGAAAAAACCTGATCCCATGTAAGGGACAGGATTTTCTCTGCCATACTTTTAAAACTCTTTTTAAAGTTTACTTACTGCAGAATGACGATCCTTCCCATTCTGCTGCATCAAGCAAAACAGTCTGGCAGCAAAACTCTCCTCCCCCCCGCCCATCCCACGTGAGGAGGCTTCTCTCCTCTCTCCTTGGCTTTTTGCTCCCAGACGGTCTGGCAGCGAACAGCCAAAGGGAGTGGAGAAAAAAAACCTGATCCCATGTAAGAGGCAAGATTTTCTCGAATACTGCCATACTTTTAAAACTGTCTTTAAAGTTTACTTACTGCACGGAGCATTCTGCTCCCCCCCACATGGAGTGTTCTGCTCCCGCAGCCCCAACCCCCGCATGGAGTGTTCTCCTGCAGCCCCAACCCCTGCACGGAGCATCCTCCTGCCGTCCCAACCCCCGCACGGAGCGTTCTTCCGTTGCCCCAACCCCGGCACGGAGCGTCCTGCTCCTGCCGCCCCAAACCCTCGCATGGAGCGAACTTTTAGAGACCACGTGTGCTGGGGCGATGGCGCGTGCCCACAGAGAGGGCTCCACGTGCCGCCTCTGGCACGCGTGCCATAGGTTCGCCACCACTGTTCTAGGGCAGGCCTGCCAGCTTGTTTTATTTTGTGGACTTGCTCCTCCACTTTGAGGGCAATTGATGGGTCCTCGAACCTTGCTCTCAGTCCTAGGAGGAAGAGGTGGGAGTCCTCTAACTCGGGTGCTTGTTTGTTATACAAATTGTTCAGCCAATCGGATGCTTCTCTTTCCAAGCTGGATGCAATCACGTCGACCATAACAGCTGGGTTTGGATAGAAACAGGCACAGTGGTTCAAGTGAGAGCATACCTGATTGAGGAAAAAGATCAACTTCTCCAGGTCCCCATCGAAGGTGGCCCTAAGAGGTGGCACCATCAGTGGTTGCTAGCCTCCCCACTATGGATGTTGCATCCCCAACTGTTGCTGGCCCTCCCATGGTGGCTGCCGCATCCCCAGTTGCTGCAAGCCTCCCAGCGGTTGTGCGCCCGGAGGCTGTTGCCACCCCCACGGCTGTTGTTGCATTGCCGGCGGCTGTGGCAGCTTCAATTGCTGTCCGGCCCCCACCGATCTCAGCAGCTGCTGTAATGGTGCCCCCAGCTGCTGCGAGCCATCCAGCGGTTGCTGCATAGGTGCGGGCTGTTGCCATCCCCACTGCTGCTGGCCTGTGGGGGGTTGTGGTGCCCTCAGTTGCTGCAGGCCCTTCTGCGGTCCCAGAGGCGATTGTTGCTGGATCCCCATCGGTTGCGGGCCCCTCAGTGGTTGCTGCATGTTCGGAGGCAGCAGCCAGCCTCACAGTTGCTGTAGTGCTCCCAAAAGTTGCTGATCCCCTGGTGGCTGCATCATCCCCAGTTGTTGCAGGGCCTCCATCTGCTGCTGCACATTCGGGGGCTGTGGCCATCCCCAGTTTGGCTGCTGCGCCGCCAGCTACTGCTGGCTTCTCACCTGGGAAGGCTGTGGCATTCCCCATTGGTGTATGGGCCCCGGGCTGGGTGGCTGGTAAGCATGTCGATCCGGGGTTTGGCTGTCCCAGTGATGGCTCGGGCTCTTGTCCCATCAGTGGCGATCTGGGCTTTGGGAGGGGCGACGACTGGAACTGTCCCTCCCGCAGGGCTGGAGGCCATGGTCGGTGGCTTCAAGGACGAGGCTGCCTGTTCTGCACAGGGGAGACTGGGGGTTCCCCTTGGTAGGAGTTGGTGACTGCCTCGCTGATCATCATGATCGCTCGCGTATGGGGAGCGGGAAGGTTGTTCTCCACTCTTCATCTCTAGCTCTTCAAATTTTCCACCAACTTCTCCACTGACTGACTATGAGCTGTGGACAGGTACTTCCACTCACCCGAATCCTCAGCAGCAGACAATTTCGTGGTTCTTCACAGGTCTGGAGAACGTGACGTGCGGGAACCCCGTCTTTGCAGCTCAACCTCGTCCGCCTTTGAAGCATTTGATGGTGGCAAGGCCTTCTCGAGGTGTCTGGAGTCTTTGCTGGGTAGGGTCCATTCCGATGGCCAGATCAGCTGTCCTTGTGGCTTGGGCTTTGCCCCCAGCTGGGAGGCCTGAAAAAATTTCTTCTCCATTAGTGCGCTGGCTGTCGCTCCCCCCTCTGGGGTAGCAGCTGCCGCCGGGGTGCTAGTTTCAGGTTCTCTTTCTTTCTCCATGTTGATATCTTCCCCGAATCTTTGTCAGCTTATCCCTCGATTCTAGGGACTGCGACTGGGGCTCGGGACCTCAAGATAGTTAAGGGAAAATTGGAGTTTTTGGCTTAATGTCATGGTTCTGACAGATGAAACTCTTCAAAAGAACTTCGAGGCATTGTTTACCTTAAAGAATCTTTTATTCGAGTAGCATAATTTCGGCACTACATAATCGAAGTGAATAACTGAATTCCCCTCCCCCAGGCACATAATATCAAAGCATAATTCCCTCCTCCAATTAACAGTCATAAATCACATTCCCCAATTAGCTTGAAGTGCAGGCTTCCTCTCCATTTCTCCAGCCTGTCAATTCTTTATCAGCTTTGGGCTCAATAACCTGGATTCTCATGCTAAGTTTAGTGTTGTTATGTCTAGCTAGACTCTCATTCACATCCCAACCCCAGCATCATCTAACTTTAAAAGAGAAAGGGAAAAAGATGGCTACATTTCCATCTGTTGTCAATGCAAAACATCCGATGTTAGCAGCGTTGACACGCTTGTACCTGGGGGGGTTGCCTGTAAGCACACTGTTTTTTCAACTGCTCTCCATTTTTCTCCCCTTGTTGGAATTTTTTGTACAGGTACAGGTAGTCCTTGACTTACAATAGTTCATCTAGTGACCATTCAAATTTATAACGGCACTGAAAAAAAATGACTTATGATCATTCTTCACACTTAACAACCATTGCAGCATATTTATGATGGTTGCAGTCTCCCGGGGTCATGTGACCACCTTTTGTAAACTTTGGACAAGCAAAGTCAGTTAGGAAGCCTGACTCACATAACAACCATGCTATTAATTTAACAACTACAGTGATTCGTTTAATAATTATAGCAAGAAATGTAAAATGGGATAAAACTAAGTTAAATGTCTCAGTAACAGAAATTTTGGGCTCATTTGTGGTCACATGACCCCTGGACTACCTGTTATAATCCTCAAGTTATAACTGGTCATTTAATACTGTTTGAATTACAATTGCCTCATAAAATGGTGCTTTATAACCTATTAAGCACTTCTGGGTATTATAAAATGTCCATGCAGCCCTGTGATCATGTGATCGTAATCTTTGTGCTTGTCATCCTGTTGGCACTCATGTCAAGTTGTCAAGCACCATGCAAACATGTACTACTATTTGCAGTCTTCTCTGCTGGCTTCCTCAGAAAGTCATTGGGGAAGTCAGTAAGGAAAGCTGCATGCTGGTGCTGAGAGGACTCCCTCTCATTCTATCTGAAAGAGCTGCTTGCTGAGCAGGGGAGCTGAACTCAGTCAGGCACTAGAGATGAGAAAGAGCTGAAATCCAAGCAGAGAGCAGGGAAGCAGGGCAGTAAGGAGTATAGGGTACCTCAGGTAGGTGGGTGGGACTCTGGGCTCACAGGACTGCCTCTCTTTTTTAAGAGCTGAAAATCCCACTGACATTCGTACGGGGAGAGTTTTCAGCTTCTGTGTGAAGCCTGCCAGGGTTTTCCCTGCCTCTTTACATTGTAAGATTCTACTGAAATTGAATTTCTTAGGATATAAATCGTTTTTGAAAATATAGCAATGATTATGTTTATGTTTTCCAGGCAGATTTTAAACTGATGTGTGACAATGCAATGACTTACAACAGACCAGACACCGTGTATTACAAACTGGCTAAAAAGATTCTCCATGCTGGCTTTAAGATGATGAGCAAAGTAAGACAACTACAACAGAGAACATATTGGGACCAAAATTAACCTTTGTAGAGGATCACAGTACAACATTATTTTATACTTCCAATTTAGATTTAGTTTCAAAAAGGAGGTTCAGGTGAATGGGATGTGAGTGCAGCATGTGTCTATCTGACTTACTACAGCAATTGCTGATAATGCTGCATTCATACTTCTACATGCTCTTAAACATTTAACTTTACTTTAAATAAAGTATTCTATTGTAGATTAAATATTTATAGCCCCAGAGGGGCAGACTATGTCTTTATAAAATAAAACTGGAGATTTAAGGAAATTGAATTTGCTCTTAGTGTTGGTTTCCCAGACTGCTGGATTTACTAAAGGTCTCATTGGTATTTCCATTATACATCTCTTTTCTTTTAAGGTGAATACTACTATTTTAAGATTTGGTTTATTCAACATAAAAATATTAAATTGAAGTTTTCACTGAAGAAATAAACATTGTCTTATTTAAATAAACTTGGAACTATTTTAAAATGTTAAGCATTTTGCTATTTTTATGTTTCTTTCCATAAAATATTGGAAGAAATGCATACATACTCTTTATTTTAAAGTTCTTTGATTATATATTTAATGAGTTCCTAAATACAGTATCTTTTCCTTCACCTACTGAATGAATCAGAAGAGTATAATGGAAATGTTTATATAAAATAAGCGAAAGATGGATTTGTGTAAGCCATACTTATTATATAATACTGTTTTTCAAATTATAAAAAGCTGAACAATTGATTATCTTGTATGAAGATTTTGTACAGGTAGGTGGCCATTTGTATGTATGGTTTCCCTTCTGAAATAGGTTGCAGGTGTTCCCGTGTCATGCTGTCATGATTGAATCACCTTGCATCCTCATTGAAGATGTAGTTCTTAGGTGCAAAGCCATGGCCATTCCCATCCCATCCCATCATCATAGCATCTTCGCTATGAGGGAAAGGTGTAAAGTCCCTGCTGCTCTGTCCTTTCTAATTCTAGGAACGGCTGTTAGCTTTGAAGCGCAGCATGTCGTTTATGCAGGACATGGATTTTTCTCAGCAGGCAGCTCTTTTGGGTGATGAAGATCCAGCTATTGAAGATCCAGTGCCCGAAGTTGTTCCTGTGCATGTAGAGACTACCAAGAAATCCAAAAAGCCAAGTAAAGAAGTTATTAGGTAAATGTTAGAGGAAGTGTTTGCTCTTTTATGCCTTTATTTGCAAATTAGCACCCCTATTTTTAGAATGAATTAATTAAACCATTAATTTATAACTTTGAAATACTAGGCACAACATATAATTATTTTTCAAGGAGCACCTTGGGCATCTTGAGCAGAATCATTATGCATCCCAGAAGTTCCTTCTGGAATTTAGAGCCAGTATAGGTGGCATTCGATAAATATTTTGAAAATGAGCTGGAAGAATTGACAATCATGAGTACAGAATATTCTTTCCATTCATTGTAAGTTTTCACATGAGCCAGAAAAAAGATAAAGTTGCAAGAGGTGCTTTAATTTTAATGATCTCACTTCTTAAATCAACCAAATCTTTTTGGAGGATGGAATAGAAGTGAAAAAAGAGACATTGTTTTCATGAATAACATGACATGTGTTCATTCTCATGCAAGAACTAAAGCAATTCTTCAAAATTATTTTAAAATGAGGGGTCCTTGGTGCTCTCTGAGTTTGCTTGTTTTCTTGCAAATGCTTCATTACCCAAACTAGGTAACATCGTCAATGCTAGTAAGAAGTACTGTTTGCTGTCACTTTATATTCTAGTGGCTTGCCTGCCACTGTTGGTGAAGGTGCTCTTAGAGATTTTTTGATTGGGCTGTTTGCTGTTGGCTTCTTTGGCAATTTCTTGATTAGGGTATAGTTTACTTGACTGTTGGTCTGATGCTAACCTTGGAGTTAATTTATGCTAATCTGGGTGTTGATTGCTGATGAAAAGGTGCTTTGGTCATTTTGTTCACTTTTGGGCTGGGTGAAAGTCTCTTTTGCATAGTCTATAGATGTTGTTAATGTCTATGTATCTTTTGATGACTGATTTGTCAGAGTGTCTGTCTTCTAGAAATTCCCTGGTGTTTTGAACTTGCATTGGTCTAGGATGGTCACATTTTCCTAATTGAAACTATGGTCAAATCTGTCTATATGTTGTGAAATTAAAGGATTTTCATCATGTCTTTTGATTGCCAGTTAGTGTTCGTGGATGCGTTTTGCCAGTCTTCCTCCTGTTCGTCCTACATAGTGGTTGTTCCAGTTTTTACACTGTATGTTGTAGATCAGAGGTCCCCAACTTCTGGGCCGCGACCCACTACCAGGCCATGGCCTGCTGGCCACTGCGCCACAGAACAGACGCATGTGTATGCACGCAATCACTCCACTCGCACTAACATCACTGCTACGCAAACGGGATGCTGCACGGCAAAAACAGGGTGCCATGCAGCAAAACTGGATTGCTGTGCAGCAAAAACAGGGCACTGCTAGGACCAGCACAACAAAAATGAGGCGATGTTAGTGAGTGTTACGCAGGTGCTAGCACTGCTCCATTTGTGTCGCGCGTACTTGTGACCCCATTTGTGCGCATAAAATGCTTCACCCTCCCTTTCCCTCCGGTCCACCAACCGAGAAAGGTTGGAGACCTCTGTTGTAGATGGCTCCTGTTTTTTCTTTTGGGGTTGTTTGGTCTTTGGTCTGCTTAGGGTGTTTTGCAGGGTTTTAGTTGGCTTGTGTGCTATGCTGATTCCATGTTGTTCTAGTAGTCAGTTGGTGGTTCCTGAGATATTCTTGATGTATGACAGTGTAATTCTTTTTAGGCTTTTTGTTGGTTGTGCTGTATTGTGTTGAGTGGTCAGAGACTTTTTGATAACATTGCATGGATATCCATTTTGATGGAATATGTTGTATAGATGCTCTACTTCCTTTTTCTGCTGTTCCAGGTTGCTGAACGCATCCACGAACACCAGCCATCAGTAGACACATAGACATTAACAACATCTATAGACTATGCAAAACAGACTATCACCAAGTCCAAAAAGGAACAAAAAGACCCAAGCACCTCTCCACCAGCAATCAGAACCCCAATTAGCATAAATTAACTCAGGGGGCCCCAACCTCTGGGTCACGGCCTATTCACAACTGGGCCACGTGAATAGCGGGCTGGCTCAACTTGCATGAGCAGCCTGCTGGCCCACCACTCATACAGGCTGGTTCCCCTCTCCCCACCCCTCAGCCAGGCCACCAAGCTGCAAAGGTTGGGAACCATTGGATTAACTCCAAGGTTAACATTAGACCAACAATCAAGTAAACAATATTCCAATCAAGAAACTGCCAAAGAAGCCAACAGCAAACAGCCCAACCAAAGAATCTCTAAGACCACCCTCCCCAACAGTGGCAGGTAAGCCAGTAGAGGAGAAATGTCAAACACAAGACCCACTGGCCGGATCCAGCCCGCGAAATGGTTTCATGTGACCCGTGAAGCCATTCTGGAAACAGCGAGGGAACGGCCCTCACTGCCTTGGCCCCGGCCCAGGCCAGCTGGCAGCCAATGTACAATTTCGTGGTGGCCATCCTTGCTGGAATGCATTCAGTCTTAGCTCCACAACGCCGTCCTGGCAACAGCGAGGGACCAGCCCCTGCCATGTCGGCCCTGCCCCCTGGGTGAGCGCTGGGGAGGTGTCACCCTTTGAGAGGAATGAAGAAATGCACCATCGCCTGGAAGTGGCCAGCAAATGGCCCTCTCCTACTTCACATATCTGGCTTGGTAGGCTCCGGGGGAGGTCGATGTTACCTGTACAACGCCACCAACACCGGTTTTGGCAGGCAGCGAGGTGCTCTCATAGCGACGGGAAGCTGGGCAGGGCAGCACAAATCTAGTGAGAAGTGCAATGCTGCCCAGCCCCCAGCCTACCTGGTTTCGGCAGGCAGCGGGGCACTCTCCTCACAGCCCCGAGAGGCTGGGCCGGATGGCATGAAGCTCACCAGCTTTGCACTGCCCGGCCCAGCCTCTTGGTGCTGTGAGGAGAGTGCCCCGTTGCCTGCTGAAACCAGGCAGGCTGGGGGCTGGGCGGCGTTGCGCTTCTCTCCAGCTTTGCGCCACCCGGCCCAGCTTCTCAGCGTTGTGAAAGTGTCCCGCTGCCTGCCAAAACTGGGCAGGCTGAGGGTGGGGTGGCATTGTGCAGGTAATGTCAACTCTCATGCTACTCGTGGCATCCCCCCCCTGGAGCCCACCAAGCCGGATATGTGAAATAGGTGAGAGCCATTTGCTAGCCACTTCCAGGCGATGGTGCATTTCTTTATTCCTCACAAAGGGTGACACCTCCCCAGCTGCGTTTCTTGCCTGCTTTTCTCACATATTTTCCCACCATTCTGTTAGGAAGGAAGGAAGGAAGGAAGGAAGGAAGGAAGGAAGGAAGGAAGGAAGGAAGGAGATATTGATGAGAGGGAGGGAGGGTCTGAGAGAAGTCCTACCTTTGTCCTGCCCTGCTGCCCTTTTGCCATCCCCTTGCCCTCTCTTCCTGGCCTATCCCGGAGGTCTCCCATGCTTCGATTACAAAGCCGGGTTTCCTCACATGGAAAGGGATGGGCCTCCCTCTGACCCACTCACTTTGCCCTCCTGCACCCACCATAAGCAGTCTGGCTAAGGAGAGCAAGCACAGCAGCAGCAGCCTTGAGAAAGAGGTAAGTGCAGCTAGGTGCCCCCTTGGGGAAGTGGGGCTAGGCTAGGTGCCGCAGGGCAGCCCATGCCACTGTCCAACCCCCCCCACACACAAACATGGCCTGAGAGGGATGGTGAGGCTCTTCCAATGGACCGTGCCCTGTCGCTTGCCCCGGTCTCACCCCCCTTTGCCGGAGACCCTTGGATCTGCCACAGTCCTGCCCAGGCTCCCACAGGCATCCCTGACATGAGCGACATTGAGCTGGCCATGCCCACCCCATTCACGCCCACCAAGTAGACCACACACATCCTGGCCACACACACACACCCCTGAGCGCAACCACAATGCTGATGCGGCCCTCAATGAAATTGAGTTGACACTCCTGCACTAGAGCAGTGGTGGCGAACCTATGGCACGGGTGCCAGAGGCGGCACTCAGAGCCCTCTCTGTGGGCACGCGCGCAGTCGCCCCAGTCCTAGGCCTTCAGCTGGGTTTTATAAAACCTTTTCGCTTTAGGCCTCCACCTCTGTGTGCAAAAAAAAAAAAGGTTCAATCAATCAGTCAATTTCAACTTCTCGCAGGAAAAAAAAAGATTTTGCAAAGTTGGAATTGATTGATTGAACTTTTTAGTCCCACCCAGTCTGCCGTTACCACTGCAGCCACGCCCACCCAATGGGCCACACCCACCCAATGGGCCACACCCATCCAGCACCCAACAATGCATAAGTGGGTTTTGGGTTGCAGTTTGGGCACTCGGTCTCTAAAAGGTTCGCCATCACTGCACTAGAGTATAAACTGACAGCAAACAGCTCTTCTTACTAGTACTGATGATGTTACCTAGTTTGGGTAATGAAATGCTTGCAAGAAAACAAGCAAGCTCAGAGAGCACTAAGGACCCTTCAGAACCTCTGTGCTATAAATATTCTTCTTTATTACTATTTTTAAAATGTTTATTGTGCTGATTGGTATTAGCTGGCACAAATTCCTATAAAATTCAAACTCCAGGTAATTTCTCAAGGGACTGTGAGTAAGTGGCCTGTCTCTTGTTTCTGTTCATGTTAAAACACGATAGTAACGTCAAAAGTCTGCAGGAATTTCCATGAAGCAATTTTAAAACTGTTGACATCAACATTTGATTTTTTCATTTGTAAAAATAGATTATGTTCTTCTCTAGTTAGTAATTATTTTAACAAATACAATACTTTTTAAAATGAAAGTTTCTCTTAATTTATATGTTATTCATTAAAACCGAACTTTTTCTTCTCATTCTTCATAATATTTTAAAACATGCTAATTTAAAATTAATTGTTGCTTCTGAAAAAGTTTTCAGCTCCAATTTGAAATATCTATTATTCTAAAACTGTGTTTTTGATACAGTTGTGAAATTTTCCTTCATTATAGCAAAGTAGTTTTCATGATGTTGCCGATCAGCGTCTCTGTATTTATAAGAGAGTATTGTAATTCATATATTTGTTTATCAGCATAGTTGCAGGTAAACATTTGATTGGTTTCAAAGGGAGTTGGGGGAAAATATCGATTGATCTGCTACAGGGCCCTACAGAGGCCCTGGTGGCTGTCTGGAATAATAATGGGGCCTTAGACAGGATTGTGCCTATGCCATCTCTCTTAGCCTATCACTCCTGTTACACCATATACTATATACTCGAGTATAAGTCGACCCGAATATAAGCCGAGGGACCTAGTTTGACCACAAAGAACTGGGAAAAAATGGTGACTCGAGTATAAGCCTAGGGTGGGAAATGAGGCAGCTACTGGTAAATGTAAAAAATGAAGATAGATACCAATAAAATTACATGAATATTTATTTCAAAGAAAAACAATAATCTAGCTCTGTAAGTGGAAAAGGGGGTCAACAAAAACAATATGGTATGAAAAATACCGTAACTTTAAAAGTACAACAATCTTAGCTCAATCAGCAACCAAGCTAACACACAAGAGCTAAAATCCTTCAAAACTGGAGTTCTCCTCCTCATCATCTGTAGGTCCAAACAGAGCTTCAGCTGTTGTGAGGTGATCAGCATAGGCATTGTCATCATCACTGAGTTCACAGTCATCACCATCACTGCTGTCGTCCTCATACAAAGCGCTGTCTTCACTGCCATCCATAGCATTACTAATGCCACATTTCTTGAAGGCGCGTTGCACCATGTCCTCTGGAATCTCTTCCCATGCATCACGAACCCACTGTGCTATCAATTCTATGTCTGGCTTCCTCAGATTTCC